ACACACACACACACACACACACACACACATATATATATATATATATATTTTTTGTTGGAGTGTAGAATTTGACATGCCACGTGGACCTCTCACGAATATTGGATTTGGAAGACCTATTCCCAAGGTGTGTAGATAAGGTACATATACCGACCTAAGTAACGGTTTGAACTATGAGTCTGAGGTGGAATAAAGAAGCCCTAACTAAGGCAGTTGACTAACCTGAGATGTTGCCGACTATAGTCCGACAACCATAACCAACTATCGAAACGGCCAAAACCAACTTGTCACATATTATCCGACTATAAAAGGGACACCACTACAATGTTTTAGGTATGTAATTTTCTCTGACGTTACCTACTCAACTCGAACTTAAACTGACTTGATCTTCACAATATATGCTTTCTTTTGTAGGTCTTTTCTTGCACTGGTGACTCATTCATAGCTCATCCAAGTGAAGACGTTACCAACCTTCGATAACTCAATAAAATTTAGCATATAACATACATGTACATATATGTATATATATGGTCAAAGATAGAGGAAATTTCTAAAAAAAAAATCTCTTAAAATATGACAAAAATATAATGCACAAGCTACTCTAAATTTTTTTAGTGGATCTCAATCGAATTCTCCAACTATAGAATTGTTACAGAAATCAAAATTTTTACATCAATTTTATATTTTCTTAAATCAAGACGGCAACTCAACATTATCTAAAAATCAAAATTTTTTCATGGTAAATATCGTAGTCTTTGAAATTTTTATAAAATTTAGAAAAATTGGATTACGTCGTCCCAACCGTACGAAAGTTTTATTATATCAATCCTTTAAATTTAAGAATGATTATTGTTGATGTAGAAATTTGGCCTTCTGAGATTCTACCAAATTCGCACCAATCTTCTAGATTAAAGGGATGGACCATACCTGCAAAATAGAATAGCACTAAGACCAGACTCTTGCCACACGGACTCTGATGCTTAAGTTAGGATCGGAGTAGTTGACTATAAAGCGTAGGGTATTGTGAGCATACCTTTAGGGTTTGGCTTACTCTTCTATTTATATAAGTCGAATCCTAATCCCTTTAGGAATTCCCAAAGTTGAATCCTAGTGTGTCAAGGAGATCTACACTTTTGGGCCTGCGTGTTTCGTAATTGGCCCAATGTCGAATCCAGGATTGAGACAAGGTAAACTCGAATCGGGCTACGCAAAGGTCGAGAGAAAACCATCTGGGTTCTTAGTTGAGGGGTCGAGAACTCCTTGGCGCTGACAAGGTCTGGCGTCGAGGCTTGGTCGGTGCCGAACTCGGGTCGACTATGGTCGGTGCCGAACTCGGGTCGACTATGGTCGGCCCGAGTCGTTGGGTTTCAGCTTCTTAACTTGGTGAGCCCGCTCCTCTTCCGACCCAACGCCTGTTTTCTACTCGTCCAATCTGATGTATAACAATAGCCCTCACTCTCAATGTAGAAGGCAATAAGTATGAGCAAAATGCTAAGGTTTCTATATTGAGAGTACTTGACGCTTGGTCGTTTCATGGATGACTATTTTTATGGTATAGCCCTCATACCCTTTTGTCGCAGTTGGTTGTCGTTTCTCAGGCTGGCCTTCTTAGCCCCTATACTCTTGTCAGAGTTGGCTATAGTCAAGTCTCTTGGGCTCTACCATACAGTTAGTTTTAACTGTTTCGGTTTTTGCTTTGGGATCTAACTTTTAGTTGACTAGCACTCTTGGGTTTCTAACTTATTTAGCTTTTGTCCATGGTTTCATACCCCAAGATTTACTCTTGGATTTCTAACATATTCGACTTTAGTCAATGGTTTTATACCCAAGTTTAGTCGACACCCTTGAGTTTCTAATCTATTTGGCTTCTACTGGTTTTATAGCCTGATTTTAATCAACACCCTTATGTTTCTAACCTATTTTGACTTTTGCCAAATGATTTTATACCCTGGGTTTCGTTGATTGGTTTGACTCGCCTGCTTTCTGTTTTAACCTTATTGGACCTGTACGCATACCTTTTTCAACACCTTTGGGATTATTTTCGCCGGTTTCACTGACTGGTTTCTAGCTTATCGACATGTTTCTAGGTCTGTCCCAATTCGAGTTCGTTGACCATTGTTACTCATCTGGCACTCACTCGAAGAGGTTTTGTTTAAGGTATTAAACAAAAATTATCTCAAGTACAAAACATATGAAATATTTAAATATTTAAACTAAAACATCACACAATATAATAAAACATTACTGGAAGATCGATCACATGCCAAATAAACAATATGCTTAGATTTTTATTTAACGATTCATCACCTTCAAGCCTTGTAATTTTCTTTTATGTCACTTTCTTCTATCCCTAATTTGGGGTTTATTTAGTCAATTTAGCTACATCTTCGTTAGTCGAAACGTTTACCTTTCACGTGATTGTGAATCAATGGTGGTAGGTCCTGCTCCACTTGTGGTTTGCTCGGACCCCGACAGAAGAGACAATATCTTCCTTTAGTTTCTTGTGAGATGGCCTCTCCATCTTTTTGAGTCATCTAAGTAGCTTATTGTCTTTTATCAAGATCTACTCGGGTGGGATTGTCATTGGGATATACCTCCCCAGAGGTTCTTGTTGAACCAAGCCACATATTTTTTAGGCTCTCCACTGATTTATGCTTTACGATAAGAAAGTTGGTCATAGAACGACTCTTATTTCTTCTTCCAAATGCTCTAGTCAATTATTTATAGAAAAAAATTAATTTTCTTCTCAATTGTCGAAACCAGATGCGGGTCATGCTGGTTATTGTGAATGAAAATACCTTGGCCTTGATAACCTTTGTCACTCTGTAGATGTCCATCCATTCTCTACACGCATCGGGTGGTTGATAAGATCTGTTGAGTCGTCGTACTATTTGATAGCAGAGAATTTTTAACTTCAGAGGGATTATCTCTTTCCCAAGCAATGTATCTGCTGGTCTATTATCTTCTTAGGATCACATCTTTTCGTTTTTCGCTAAGTTCCTATACTTTCTCTGTCTGCTCGTGTTGGCTAACTGGCTTCTCATTGCCGAGCACAATCTCTGGAGACTGGGTCGGATTTCTAAGTAGCTCCTACTACTACGTGCCGCTGCTTTTGCTGTCGTGCAGTTATCAAATCTGGTCGGCGGAAGAGACTTGGTTGGCAGAAGATGCTTGGTCAACGGAAGATATCTGGTTGGTAGAGACTTGCTCGGTCGACACTTGGTCATGCCCTGGACCTAGCCATACCCTAGAGTCTCGTCACGCCCTGGATCGGGTCATTATAATTAACACTAATGCTTTATTGATTAATAAATAACTATATACAATTACTATATTTATATATATATAATAAATGAAAATTGCAATGAGTAGCAAAAATCTTTTATATATTTCAAAATATGTCACCTATTTTTTAAAATTTCAAATATAACACAAATTTTCACTTATATCAGTAGTATATCAGATACGGTATCAGTAGTATAGCTGATGTATATCATATACATATTACAAGTATATTAGACATCATATCAGTAGTATATCAGATGTATAAAACGTATACATATATCAGTAGTCAGATATATTACAGATATATATCATTCGGGTAAAGTTGTCATTTTAAAAGTGAACCTCCATTTAATAAAAATGCTATATTTGAAAAAACTAAATASGGTGATGTTTTGTTAATTTTACTAAATATTTTGCTATATTTGCTACTGCACCTAATAAACTTATTTTTAGTGAAAATCTAGTGTTTAATTTTTCATTTATTTTACCTTTTCATCACCCATGTAAATTATATTGATATAAAAGTATTGTATAAAATTACTCAAAAAATACAAATTTGTTAAACTCTTCGGCAAATTCGTTGCCATAGTATCATTGGGAAAAGTATTATCTGACAACAAAATTTAAATTTCGTCAATGTTGGTACCAATTTTATTTTTTATTATTTTTAACAAATTTGATACCATACTTAAATTTTTTTTAAACCTAAGACATAATTTCATGGTGGTAAATATTTATGCATGACCATAATTATAGATTTGCTTTAGAGCCAACACTATTCTTTACATAGCAATTAAATTAAATTCATAAGGTATATGTTCAAAATAAATTAGATCAAGAAATATAATAACACCTTAAATCTAAACTATAAGGCTTCATCTAATGTCTTCATCAAATTCTTGACAATTCCCCACAACTAACAAAACTCAAATAATTTCTGTTTTTGATTTTTGGTTTTTGGTTTTGTATTTTTAAAAAACAAAAAACCATATAGGTTTCATAACCATCATTTTTTGTTTTTTTGTTTTTGAAAAAAAGAAAACCAAACCTGTTTGATAACCATTTTTAGTTTTATGTTTTTAAAAGATAGAAAATCGAAAATAAGAGAGAAAATTCTATATAGAGTATAGATGACAATGGTGTGAGTGCGAGTGAGATGTTATCCTCCGTTTTCGTGCCTGTGAAAATTTTTAATCCCCGCCTCTACCTTGTTCTTCAGTATGAGAGATGTTCTCGTGAAAAATTATTGGTTTTATAATTTAAAAATATTAAATTCTAAGAGAGAGAAATGAAATTGATCTTCTGTAGAAAAAGAATAAAAAAATAAAAATACAAAGAGATGAAAAATTTAGAGATAGAGAAATAATAATAAATAGGAAAATAGGAAAATTTTAGAGAGAAAAAATAAATTTAGTAGAGAGAAATTTATTTAAAAGAATAAAAAATACAAATACAAATGAAAAATTTAGAGACAGACAAATAATAATAAATATTTAAAGTACGAAAATTTTAGAGAGAAAAAAATAAATTTTGTTAAGAAAAATTTATTTAACACAAGAAAAATAAAAATATCTACTGATGAAAATTTTTGAGAGAGACAAATAAAGTATGAAAATTTTAGAGAGACAAAAATAAATTTTGTAGGGAGAAATTTATAAATAAAAGAATTCTGGGGTGAGAAAGAAAATTTTTATATATAAATATGGGAAATTAAAAAAAGTATTAGGAAAAAAATTAGATTTTGAAGAAGAGAAATGTGTTTTTGAATTTTTTT